GAAGTTGAACACTGCAACTGCAGAACCACACTGCCCCAACCACTTTGTACAGGCAATACCTGCCGTGCCATGACCGGGATCCGACAGTTCTCATCTCCTGATTATTGCTGGTGGCTGGCCAGAGAGACCATTGCTGCAGCAACACCTGTGGGCCAGGGGTTATTTCAAGAGCCCTGTAGACAAGAGACATCAATTCCAAGATGGACCAAAAGAAACTCCCCCCTGACAGTGAACTTTCTTGGACTTAGTGGTGAGTGTGCAGCATTCCTTATGTCATCAGCACAAAGAAATTGCAAATAGAGCATGTAGAAAGCCTAAGTGCATGTAAAAAATCCAGTGTGCTTTTGGTCTAGATAAATGAAACCTAAATATATAATTAAAATTGCATGTGGGATTATCAGAAAAATATATATCTAGCTTCTGATGAAATCACCACATAGAAAATTTTGAGGTGCAAGAATATTTGAAAGAGAAAATAGAGAAGCTGAAGATGCTTCATTCCTGTAATTTATTTTCTTTAAAAAAAAAAAACCAAAAAAACCTGAAAGGATGAGATGATTACTGAGTATATCAGTACCTTCAAAGCAATTTTTGCCCACATGTATTTTGTTTCCTTTCAAGTTTCTAGATTGTCTTTCCACATTTTAGGAAGCAAAAAATCCCCACCTTTCTCTGTCTTGATGGTCTTCCACAATGCATGTTAAGCATTTTGAGTGGCACCTGTTATAGGATCAAGCTGGAGATTTAATAAATCTTTAGTTTTTATTAATATTCTTTTCCCTTTTGCAGATTAATCCTTAACTGCTTAATATTCAGTGCCTGCTGCCAGCACTGGAGAGACACATCTTATTTAAGAAATGAGACAAGTTTAGCTTTGTGAATGAGGAATGTCTGGAAATAGCAATCACTGGTCTGAGTAAGAAATCCATTGCACAGCTACACCTGAATTCCAGTTATCCAGTGGATTTTGAACTGGGATGGAGATGCAGAGGGAGAGATTTCAGGAGGGACAAGAGTATTACATGGGACTGCAGGGGACACGACAAGGAGTGGTGAAGTTGTTCTTTGGGAATGTACCCAACTGTGCTCCCACTTCCCAAATTAGCTTTACAGCCACTATAATCTATCTACATGTATAAGTGACAGATTCCTCAGGTCAAGAAACAATTGGTACATTTGGTTTCCTACATTACAGGGCCTGTTCATAACTTTTCACATTGTTATTCTGCACAAAGCCTGTGAACTGAGCCAAAGATTTAAAAAAGAAAAAAAGCAATTTTAAAGATCATAATTGAGAACATTAACATTAATTTTGTGATTTTTATAATTTAGTCTGCATTAATCCATTTAACTTCATAATGTAAAAAAATTTTATCATTCTTTGAAGTCTGCAATGCACTCAGAATACCAGTGTCATGCTTGTCTGATAAAATGGATTTTTCACAAAAACATGCTCATTGGCATCAACTGTCCAACTGTCCTCCACTGACTGTATCCTATATTAATGATACCAATTCCAGGCATGGATTTCTGGTATTGACATGATAGCCCCTTTTGCTTCTGTTCCTCTGGAGCTTCTTCCTTATTCCTAAATCTATTCAAAATGTGTGTTATTATAGTTCCTGGTCCCTTTTAGCAAGCAAAACTCTGCTCCTCTGCAGTGACAAAATATTTAACAGCCAATGGTGGCCTTTATAAATGTAGGGTTTGGTACCTGCTGGAACCAGAAGTCATTAATTTGCCAGTAGCATGTAAGTACCACTGATATATTTGCTATTTCATCCTTTTCTGCATGTCTGAAGGGTAAATAAACACCTTTCCAGCAAAGCAGCCTTAATGCTTTGGGGTTTTTTTCCGTTCTTTATACAGAAGTAAAGTTCTTCTTACTGACTGTGATCCTGTTGACAGTGGAGCTTCATTGATAACCAATAGTTTGCTTTCTTGATTGCCAGACAAACTAATTAAATCATAAGAATGGTCCTGGTCAGCTGACATAAAAACAACAAGGCTTGTCCTGATCAAGTGCATTTTGTAGCCATTTTGCTAACCTGCCAAGGGTAAGAGTATGGAAACAAGTTACTGCAAAGTAGACTGGAGTGCAGACTTGCAGAAAATCAACCCTCTGCAGTAAGTTTGCCTGTTCTCCCTCGTGGTATCCTTGGAATATCTTTATTGTCTTGTGTTTGTTACTGGGTAACAGCACACAACAGCTCCAGTGCCTCTGGGCAGCAGGATAAATGTCTCAGGCAGCCACTCCCTTGGGCTTCCAGGATGCTTTATTGCAGGCACTCCACTATTTTGGGCAGCCACCTGAAGCAAAAGGCAACACAGATGCCAACCCAGGGGTGCTCGGGCAGGGACAGAAGTGGGGAATGAGCTTCCTGTAAGCAGAAATGGCTTGTCGTGGGGATTGAAGGAAGGGATGTGGTAGCAAGACACAGGGAGTAAGTTCAACAAAGGAGGAATTTGGCACTTAGAAATCTGACTGTTGGGAGCAAGGCTCTTGGAGAGATGAAAAAGATCCCACTGTCTTCCTGTGAAGGCAAAAATGGCAAAGAAAAGTCTGGCAATGGGAGCTTGCACTTGGGAAACAAGTCACTGAACTGTGGAAGAAAAATTATCCTTTATTCTCTCTGGCACCATCTGTGAATATTTTAGGATCTCTGTTAAACATGTAGAAAGTTGTCCCAGTTTTCTGGTATGTGTTTTAATGCCCCACCCCTTTGATGTGTGAAGTGTCTCCCCCTGTTAAACAGTGGCTTTGCTGCTGTTGCCCCTCTTCCCTTGCTGATCTAATTCCCTGTGCCTGGATTGCCCTTCCTGCTCCTACCTCAGTGACAGAGCAGCCGTGGCTGCACCCATAGCTTGGCACTCACTGAGCATTAGGATGAAATATCACTAGCCCAGAAAAACTGTGGGTGTTGCTGTGTTAAACATGTTTTTGCTTTTCTAAGGGTGTGCAGAGAGCAGAATAAATGAAATAAGAGTGTGCCTGCAGGGGAGGGAAGAGGAACAGTGTCCATGGAAGGGGATGGAGAAGAAGAAAGCACAGAGATCCAAGTGCAGTGTCCCAGCTGCAGGGAGAGGTGAGGCCTGACAGGAGGAGCTGGTGCTCTGCCAGGGCCCAAAGCAGCTGCACCCAAAGTGCTTGTGACCCTTCCTTCTCTCCACACACCTCTTTGGAAGAGAGATCCTGTGTTCCTTCAGGATATTTGATAATCATTGTCACCATGGCAGAAAAGGTGAATCATCTCACATCTGAAGGCAGGGAGGGATGAAGTAATCTCCTTGCAGGCAGATGGAAACCAAAGGCCATACCCTTGTGGGGATCTGTATCCCCAGAACATGACTGACAGTTCTGGTGTCTGCTATTCTGCTACTTCAGAGCTTACATAGTTGACCAAAAATGTTACTAAAACACATAGTTATGTTTGCACTGGGACTATCTAATGTCTAGGGCGTTGAATAATTAAACTGAACACAGACTTCAAGCACTCAGCACCCCTGGAAGTGTGATTTATTTATATTAGTATTGAGTCAGGTAAAATGTTTCTGTTCACACCTCCGAAACAACAGAGGAATTCCCATCTTTTAGAGTTGTTTTCAGCAAGTGAGATGTATGTTTAAGAAACAAACACTGGATCAGATTTTTTTGTTCAGACAAGATCTGTATTTTTGCCCACAAGTCAAGTCACACATTGTGGAGAAGCTCATGTGGCCATCAGAGAAGCACAGGGGCAGCACACGTGTACCTATCAGCTAAGGTTAGCCTTTGTTCCCAGCTGAAATGTGGTAGGAGCAGGATATTTTTCAGCACTCTTTATTTTTCCTCAGTGTTCACAAATACATTGACTCTGCAGTGAGAACCCCTCTGTGATCAAGGCCTTCCTGCAATATTTTTCTCCATTCCATTTTCTTGAAGTTGTTCTGCTGGACACCCACTGGATTTATTGCAAAATGAGGGTGTATAAAGGAGTATTCACCTGACCAGATCTGTCCCTTCTCTCCCTCCACATGCTGTCCTGATTAAAACTGTATTGCACTTATATTGTACTTTTGATCTCACAATGCTTACGGTGCTCAGAGTTTGACTGTCAGGTGAACATGAAATGCACAACGCCCTTGAAAAAGTGAACAAGATTTGTTGCAGCTTTTGCCATCAGGTGGCTTCTGCCTGCTGCCTGTTTGGTGAGGTTGGCAAACTCTGAGTGAATAGGGAGTAGCTGAGTAGTGCACATTTGTAATGTGTAATCATACTTCTAGGACAAGTTGTGTTTTACAGAAGCCTTGGAGGTGGCGTGGAGTGAAAGAAGGGCTGAAGTGTTCACACCATGGATTGTGTGGAGTCTTGCTAAAATAAGTCCTTGTGCTGCAGAGATGTACAAGTGGGTGTGGACTATGCAGTACAGTTACCCTCATCAGCCTGTACCAACAAACAAATGAACATTTCACTTTTATTTATTCTGAGGTCAAGGGTGTGGGATTTCAGTGGGCTCTTACACAAAGTATTCATTTAAATGCTTTGTAGTTTGCTGCTGCTGCTGCTCTCCTGGATCTCTGTGGTGGTGTTTGCAGGGGTCCTAGGACCAGGGAAGAGATGAGGATCTGACTCCATGTTTCAGAAGGCTTGATTTATTATTTTATGATATATATGTTATATTGAAACTATACTAAAAGAATAGAAGAAAGGATTTCATCAGAAGGCTAACAAGCAAGAAGAAGAATGGCATGAATAACAAAACCTTGTGTCTGACCAGAGAGAGACACATTTGGACTGTGATTGGCCATTAATTAAAAACAACTGCATGAGACCAATCACAGATCCACCTGTTGCATTCCACAGCAGCAGATAATCATTGTTTACATTTTGTTCTTGAGACCTCTCAGGTTTTCAGGAGAAAAAATCCTAAGGAAAGGATTTTTCATAAAACATGTCTGTGACAGGCTCTCCTCTGGCTCAAGGCCCTACTTGCTTAGCTGGGTTTCAGCTCCTCTTCAGGTCAGGCAGTGCTGCTCTGCAAGATCAGCCTTCTCTGGGGGATCACGGAGGCAAGCCACTCACCAGTGCCCTGCTTGGCCTCTTCCCACGTGTAGCGGGGCACGTAGCCAAAATCCTGCTGTGCCTTTCTGTAGGAGAAGGTGAAGGGGGTGTTGAGCAGCGTGACCAGGTGGCGATTGGTGGAGGGCACGTATCTGACAAAGGGCCTCAGCAGGAAGCTCAGCATCTCCAGCAGCAGCGAGAAGTAATAGAGCATTGTCAGGGGCATGGGCAGCCGGGGCTCAATCCCAAACCCCAGCTCCTTGGTCAGCTCGTAATTCAGGTCGGCGTAGCTCATGTGAGGAGTGTCATCTGAGATGTAGTAGAACTTGCCTCTGATGTGCTTGGCTCTCTGCGGGGCCCGCAGGGCTTTGGCTGCCTGCACGTGTGCCCAGGCGATGTTCCCCACGTACACGGGGTTCACCAGAGCCTCCTTCCTGGAGAAGCGTAGGTAGACGTTCTTGTTCAGCAGGCACTTGTCCAGATGGCCTTGGAGAAAGGGGCAGCCTTCCCCAAAAATGTACATGGATCTCAGGGCACAGGTCATCAGCGTGCCGCCATCCTTCAGCACCTGGCCGTCTGCTTTCAGCACAGCATCCTCTGCCAGTCTCTTGCTTTGGGCATAAGGAAATTTGGATGTGCTCTCATAAGCTGTATCTTCGTCCCCATTGAAAATGGGGTCCCCTTTGCAGTTTGGGCCCGTCACTTCTATGGTACTGGTGTAAATGAAGTGCTGGACGTTGCAGCGGACGCACGCCTCCAGCAGCAGCTGAGTACCTTCAAAAAACAAACATGAAAGGCAGTCTAGTTTAGGGCCTCCTAACCAGGGAAAAGTGGGGGTTTCAGATCACAAACAGCATCTCTGGCCTGAGCTTAGCCAGATCTCCCTCCCTGCAGCTGGGAGAATCCTGTCCTGAACAGGGCTGTATGTTCAATGACACTGAACCTGCTCTGAATGTGTATTTAAGTGGTACCAGGGCACCTTTCAGGGTTAAACAAGGGTGAATATTTGATCCTAATTGCATATTGTGGGAGGTTTTTTTATGCCAAGAATCAAAATTTTGCCCTTCCTTAGCATGGAGTCTTCCTTCCCACACATCAGGGATTTGTGCCAACTTGAGTAGGCTTAAGGCAGAGAACCTTGAGAAGCTGCCCCTCTCCTTAGGTATCATCCGTGGTGAAGCCCATGTTTTTCAGGTTTGAGGATGCTCTTGGTTTGCTAAGAAGGGACAAAATTATTATGGGACCTGAAGGTCTGCTCCAAAATCAGTGCACTCACACTCAGTGCAAATCTATCCAGTATTTGACTGACTAAAGAGAAGGGCTTGGACAGAAACATGGTGAAGCAAGACACAGTAACATGTAGTCAAAGATCATGAAGTGCAATGAGAAAAGAGAGGCTTGTGGATGTATGCTTCCTTTTCTGGCATAATCTGGTTTTTCCTTGCAGTAGTACAGGATTTCTTACATTTAAAATCCTTTAATGCTTTCATCGGGGGCAACAGAGGTCAGCTGTTCAAAGTCTTTTAAATAGCCAAGAAGGTTAAACAAGGAAAGCACACTGAAGGGGGAAATAAATACTTTAATAAGTTGTGTTGTTATAGTTGCAATTAGAATATTTTTTTCTACCCAGCTTTCAGGCAGAAATTGCCTTACTTGTTGTGCATGGTGTAATGAGAGAAATTAAATGCAGAAAGGCCAGTGACTTTGGATATGAAGACACAGCTCAAAGACATTTGAAAACATCTTCAGCAAAGGAACATTAAATTAAAATGACTGATATGATATCAGAAGGGTGTAGCCTAAAATCTAGAGGATAAAATCAAGCACCAGCAGTGAGGCACATTAAAGATCTTCCAAGTCTGCTCAGTCTGCTACAGCAACAACTGAAGGCAGCACAAGGCAGACCAGGCTAGTGTGACTGAAACAAATATAATGAATTACAGAGGTTCAGAAGAGCCAGAAATATTGGCAGCAAAATATGGACTTGTTAATGAGTGAAAAATAGGAGGAATTATTGAACTGAATATTGTTAGGGCACCAAAATTCCTCTTTTCAAGCTTGAACAAGAAAAAGAAAGAAATTGAAACAAATGGAAAACAAATCTGTATGAGGCTTTCAGAAACATTAAGGAAGTGCACTGAAAAAAAAGTTACACAGACAGGAATAAATTAATGTGAAAAATGAGTTTATGCAAGACACCCTGTTTAGATGACATAAAAGCCAGGGTCATCTGGAAAAAAAGTGTATTTATTATATTATTTAAAAAATAGTAGCTTTATTCCTGCTGTCAATACCATTTGGTAAATGAGGGAAAGTAATCAAATACAGAAGGTCTTGATGAAATCAAACGAGATAGCAAGTATTAGAAAAAGGCAATAATAAAATAAGCTTGACAGTTGATATCTGTTCAAGATAATTTTCACCTGAATAAAATGTGGTTTATTTGAAAATCAGAGTTGTATGTAAAAGTTTAAAGATTCCTACAGTAGTGGGACTCTGAGTATCTTTCATATAGCATGTAATAAAGTAAATTATTACTGTGTTACATGCTTTATTCAGTGAGAGGGTCCCCATGGTTTGCCTGCCCTACTGTTTGAGGATCTGGTTCACAGAAGGTATTTTGTTTTGATTATAATTAATTATTTTCTCAATTCACTTCCTTTTAAAAATTTGCTCCCCTTCCTTCCTAAAAAGATATTTTTGCTTTGAGATATTGTGTGGCAATGGAGGAAAGCCCTGCATCAAGGCAACTTTAACTTTCTCACTTCTGTCCTGGTTCGTGAACAGCCACATCTGATTCTTGAAACATTTCTATTATAGAAACATTTATATTTATATTACACAAGTTCTATTTCCTAGGAGAAACAAAACTTTCATCCTGCAAGCCCATGAAATACATAGCAGTGCCCTGGCTGGTCAGAAAACCAGAAGAGCATCAGAATGAAAATGGAAGAAAACAGGGAAGAGAGGACAGCAGCATTCACTCACTGACTTTGTGGCCACTTGGCTCTGGGAGCAGGACTGTGGGTGGTTTTTCATTCTAGCAAATGTTATCAGCTAATCCTCCCTGGCCCAGGGGGCTTTTTTCACCCATAGGCAGACACTGTTGGCAAGGGAGTGAGTACTGGGGAGTCAGAGCTAAAGAGCTTTCTGGGACATTTTAATAGTAGTTTGATTTTTTTCTTTTTTCTTGTTTTTTTCTTCTTTTTCTTTTTTCTTTTCTTTCATTCTTTTCTTTTTTTTTCTTTTTTTTTTTTTTTTGTTGTTGTTTTTTATTTTTCCCCATGGTAAAATGTGTTTAAGCAACACATTCTGCTGTGAAAAACCAGATTTTAGCAGGAGTACAGGCATCAAGAGAGAGCTTTAGAAATTCTCTCTCTGAACTACCAACCAGGTGTATTTTCATATTACCCAATGCACAGGTTTCCAGGAACTTGCCTTTCTACTCTTCCCTCCTGACAGGGGCCTAAGAGGCTGCCCAGTGGGCTCTGTGCTTTGATCACTGACAATTTGTGGCTTTGATTGAACCAAAATGAAAGGGTCTGGAAGCTAATGATACAGGGAATGAGGCACATGAAACAACTACAATGCCATCCCACTGTTTTTCAGGTACATGTAAGAAACAACTCGCCTGCCAAGAATTCTCTCTTCCTCTGAGCCCTGGTGAGCAGCCAATATTTGTGAAAGTGATGCCTGTACAGGTATGTTCCTTATTTTTCTGTGAAGAAGCCCTGTGGCTGTGGCAGAGAGGAACAAAGTACTGGGAAAGCTGTTCATGTAAATAAGAACATCTTTCCCAAATCTGCCCCAAGCTGTTGAAGCAGCACAGCCAGGGAGGCCAGCGTGCATGCAGTTTAGGCAGTGCCTGTTCTCTGAATGGCACTGAGGGTTTTGGCATCACAGACAGGTTGTTCCTTTAGGAAATACATTGAACTTCCTGGTAGGTGATTCTACATGGGCCATTCCTAAGATTTTCCTTCTCCCTTCACCTGATCTTTCCTGAGGAATGGGGGTTCCTTAGTGGAAGGGAAAATCCCATCACTGTGTCACTGAAACTCCTCCCTCCCAAAGCTCTGAATTTGTTGGGGACTTTTAAATTATAAGCTCAAGGTGGGAGAGTACTTGTTCCTTTCAACTGCCTTCTTGCACACACAGATTTAAAGGCAGAGGAAGGAAAAGGAGAAAGAGCAGAAGAAAAGGAATAGCAAGGAGAGAGCCACAGGCTCTGGGATGTTATCAGTGCAACATTTCTGTAACTGCAGCCAAAGCCTGCAGTAGTTGTAAACATTGAAAAACGTACTCAGGCAGGGATGCCATGTGGGGTGGGAGAATAAGAACCAATTTCTGAGGTGAGCATTGGGATTTCAGAGGGGAATTTCTTCCAGAAAGTTCCACTGAGCATGGGTTTATGACTATCACCACTGAAGGCAGAGCCTGTGCAGACCTCAGCATGGGCATACATAAGTGTTGACAAGAGTGAGTGATCCTGCACTGCCCTGAAGTGGAAGACTGGATGTGGAGAGGCCCAGAACTTCTTGGGGCTGCACGGACACGGGATTTGCACCCCTGGGTTTGTCTGTGCACGATGCAGGACAACCCAGGTAACCTGGCCCAAAACAACCACAGCTCAGGTGCTCCCTTCCCTGAGCAGTGATCAGGACACAGATGTGGCTTTGAGGAAGGTGCTTCCCCTGCTCACCTGTCACATTGACTTCCCAGAGCAGCTTCTTCTCGATGAGGCCCAGGGTGTCAATGAGGGAGGCCGTGTGGATGACCAGGGAGACACCCTGGCAGGCGCGGTGCAGGAATGTCACATCTCGGATGTCCCCTTCCAGGATCTTCAGCTCAGTCTTCCCCTTGAACTCTGCAGGGGCAGCAGAAAACAGAGCACAAGACCTTACAGGCACCCTAAGAAGAGCTCTGGAAGGCTGGTGAAGAGCTGACCCTGCCTGGCAGGTGCTGACTGTCCAGGAACTGCAGGGATATTTAAGGCTGTGAAACAGAAGGCATCTCCCCAGGACTCTATTGTCAATGCTAACTACAGTGCTGCAGAGGTTTATTTTGCATTACCTGCCATAGATCTGGAGCCAATATTCAACGTATTTCTTTCTATTTTATTTTTTAGAGAGAGATCTTTCCCCCTGCTAGCAAGCTTCCTTGAGTTGTGCCTGTGTTGAAGCTCACAGAGGAGTGGCTTTAGCTGTGCATGTTCTGGTGGCTGGCTGGCTATGGATGTGTTAACCCAAGAACACTGAACAGGCACTGCATGTTCCTGTCTTCAGGCTGATGAATGATCTCTCTCCACCCAGGGCATGTGAGCACAGGGATGTGTTCATGCCTACTTTCTGTTCCTTTACCTGGCCTGTATTGCAGCTCTTCTAGTAAATCACATACAATTCTGACATCTTTTTCTTGTACCTTGGCCAGGACCTACAGTGCCTCCTCCAGCTCCAGCTCTGGCTCCATTTCAGTGTCTGTGCTGTGGGTAATTTTTAGCCTGCACATCTTTCTGGTTCATACCTGAACTCTCAAGAGTGTTCTCCTGAGCTACCTCAGCCTGGCTTGATTAAATCCTGCTTTTTAAGCCCTGTCCCTCCACAGCAGCTGCAGTGTGTGACCCCAGAGGAGCTCTAGGTCTCAGAGCCATCCTGTGCTGGGCAGAAGGATTCTTTCTGCAGCCCAGAGCTACACAAAATGAGTCAGCACCAGACAATCACTTGGAAAAAGATGCCCAGTCCAAGGCAGTGCTGCTGTGCAGGGGCCTCAGCTGGCCTGGCTCAGCAGTGCCATGGGACAGGAGGGGACTTCCCCAGCATGACCCCAGCCTGTGAGGAGCTGGTGCCATCACCAAGTCCCCTGGGAGCCTCTGCTGTGGCTGCACTAGATGGCTCCCCAGGCACAGCCACTGGGCAGGGACTGCAGCACAGGCAGAGCCTCTGTCTTCTTCAGCATCATCAAATGCCCCTTTTAGATAAGAGAAGAACCTGATTAATTTGTACAGCTTTTTGCTTCAGCCATGACTGAAATCTCATGTATCCCAGTGCTTTGTCACCAGCTCCAAAGCAGGCAGTATTTCATCCCATGTCTGTAATAAGAAACACTGAGAGAGACAGCTGCTGGGTCTGGAACTGAGTGGGGATATATTTTAAAATGGTTTTATCTCATTTTCTCTGTAGCACGCTAAGAATGTAATCCTGTGTCAATTTAACAATTATTCTGATGCAACAGGCTTAAGGGACTTTTTTTTCTCCCACCACAGACAGTTGGTCTGAGATTTAATGTTTGTGGAACATTTGCTGAACTGTTACTAAATCTAGAGTTGCTGCCCTCCCAGCACAGTAATTGCCACACACTCTCTTCTGCTCCTTTTTTTTACAGACTGCATTCATTTCCTAGGATTCCATCTCCAGAAGATTCACTCTGATCTCTGCTTGCATGGATACAAAAGTGTCAGACTAGGGCTGGGCTTTTTTTAAGCTCCTGGAAGTTAGATTTGCCCTAATAAATATTAGTGTCTGCACTGCCCTTAGGTTGATGTTCTCCATGAACAAGGCGTTACGGGGTTGTAATAATCCCAAGAACAGACAGAAATAGTTTTCACAACATAAATTCCGACATGTGACCCCTTCAAAGTTATCACAGTGCCCAGGAAGGGGTTAGGAAAATGGAAGTTTTACACATGCAAATCAAAGCTTTTGGGAAAAGTACAGAAGAAGCCTGTTCCTTTTAAAGCTGATCACAAGAAGTCTGCTGTCTAGGTGCTTTGTGCCTTGTTTGGGCTTGCAGTTTGTGTGTGTATGATATGACTCAGGAAATCTGCTCCTCTATTCTGTTTTAGCCAGCAGAAGTTGCCATGGTAAGTACAATATGGGCCTTGCTCCATTTAGCAGCATCAGCTGCATGTCAGGAATCAGCAGATTGATCTTGTTTTGCTCTGGGTGAAGACAAAACTACAGGTGAGCTTGGAAGAAAGGAGAGTTAAGAAATGACTGGCAGGGGTTTCAGTCAGGGATGGCCAGCAGAGAGAACTGCTCTTGATTTCCATCTAGACAAACCATTGCCCAGGAAGCAAAAGAACACTTGTGGGTAGGTCAGAGGGGGAGGAACAGAAAAAATTCAAGTCAGCTCTCCATTTTTTGCATAAAGTGATTATGACAAAGTACCTACTCACTGGGAAAACTTGTTCTTCTTCACCAGTGGTTTCTGTGTCCTCTGAGTTGTAAGTAATCTCCCTGCTTGCTTGTGGGTAGGTTTTGCTTGAAAATGCTATGATTTCTCAATAAAATTCAGTGTCCTGTTGTGAGCAGTTTTTGACTCAGCAGTACAGTCAGACTATTTGCCCTAAACTTGAGAACAACAGAGGAGTTCTGATTTCTCCAGAAGTGCCAATGCAATAGTGAACAACAAAAAAAAGGATTGTGTAAGTGGGAGCACAGGAAGGGCAGAAAGATAAATCTGACATGGGAGGTGGGAGGTAAGAAACCAAAGAACCATGTTGAATGTGACGTCCATTCTCAACCACACAATGGAACCAGGTGGATTCCAGCTCACAGCCCTGGACACTGACTGGATCATCCCAGACTCCCTGGGGCTGTGGAAGACCAGAAATGCCACTGTCCTATACAGACTGATGGGGTGGGCAAGCTCTCAGCAGGAAAGTTGTGTGGACAAAAGGGGAGTGCCCCTGAGTGCCTTCTGGCACAGGGACCTGTGATTGCACACACTGCTCTGTCTCACTACCCACAGCCCTGACTCTGCACAGATATTGCAAGTGCAAGGTGCTCAAGAGATTAGTGAGGAAGAAACCCACTCAGCTCTGCTCCTGGCTGTTCCAGAAGTCCAGATAACATCTGCTAGCCAGTAAAAGTCCTTGTAGTAAAAATAATGCAGGTCAGAAGACTCCAGCCCCACCCACAGGTTTTGTAGCAGCCCAGCACTTGGAATAGGAGTCAGTGAGACAGAGAAGGGCTTGAAAGGGAGCAGCAGGGAAATATTTTGGGCAGCTCTGAGCACTGGGACTGGCAGGACACTAAAAGAGATGCAGCCACAAGGGCTGATGCAGACAGAGGTGCTGCCCAGTCAAAATGCAGGGGTTCAAATCTGTTTAAGCACATCTGTAATGTCAGCCTATGGTCCCTACTACCTATTTATGGGGAAGAAAAGGCTTTGGTAACTGATTTTTCCCTACCTCCTGTGCTGCTCAGGTAGGCAGAAGGAATGTTAAAAGAATAGGAGAGGGGGTGTGTGGGCAGTGCTCCGTGGAGGAAGAAGGGAGGATAAGGAAAGAGGGCACAGAGCTTGCCTATTAACAAAAAAACCAAACATCAAAACGTTTGCTGCAGCCCAGCCAACATTGTGCCCACACAAACAATGGTTGTCACTCCCCAGGATGCTCCATTATCCCCACAAAGCTCTTCTGGCCCAAAGCAATGTAGATGCCTCTGCCCTGCTGCATCAGTGCTAAACCACACACACTCCTGCTGCTTCAGCCTCTACTGTAGCTGCAGGTTTTGGGTTTGTTCCTGTGGAAACTCTGTGGAAACCAGAGCAGGAAGGGCTGCTGCAAGGCTCAGGGGCATTTAGAAATCCTGAGTCAGACTTAATGGAGAAGAAGTCTGTAAAATGGAGCAGAGTTGTGTAAAACAGTGATAAAGGCTTGTGCAATTTGTACCAGGTGTATTGTGCACTGTTGCTGTCCCTTGATGACACTTTAATGCTCTGTAGAGTGATTGGGGCTCTTCAGCAAATCATACAGAGATATTCCTTAAGGGCTCCCATATAGTTTCCTGCATAGAGGAAGAGGAGTCTTGCACTGAAAATGTGATGGAGGAAGTTACTGTTAAGTAAATATAATGTAAGGGCTTACAAACCTGACTGAATTTAGGCCCCTTAGATGCCTTTTTATAAGTGTGCTCAGTGTATCTCAGTAAACAGGACATTCAAAATAAAACCCTCTGAGCTGCTTTCCCTGCCACAGACTGTTTCTGACACTGGGCACACCGCTCCCTTGTGCTGTCTCCAATCCATTCAAGAATCCTGCCTTGCACTTTGCAAATGGGTTCTGTCTCTTCTGTTTAGCATTTGCGTAAACAGGAAACTGCAACAATGTTATTAACAGAAGCAGTTTTAAAAATATCTCACCACAGCTCTCAGCCAGAAGATCACTATTAATCAAATTAATCACAGGTTGAAGAAAACCATTGGAATTTGCACCCACAACTTTTTCACTGCCTTCACTGTCTGGCACACCAGAGCCCAGCGCAGCATGCTCTGGATATCTCTGCCCTCCCACCCAGTACAGCAATGCTTGAATTTTCCCTTTCCCCAAGAAGAAGTGTGAGATTTTTGCATTAATTTTGCTCAGTGGGCTTTGTTGTAAGAGGAGTCAGGTTGAAGACAGCCTGTTTACTGCATGAACAGTATACAGAAGCCTCAGGGCCTGACAAAAAACCCTCTTGTTTTCACATTTTACATCTGATTTCTGTGCTGGAGATAGAGAAAGGGATAGAGCAAGGATTCCTTGAGCTGAAACCTCTATCTGCAGAGCTGTTTCAGATGACAGGTAAAGGTTTCCCAGGTGCCCAGGAGGGACTGCAGCACCCCCAGCTGCAGCACAGTCCAGGAATGTCACTTACTGTCAAACCTGCCGAGTGCCTCAGCGCTGAAGGCTTTGTCCAGCAGCCGGATCTCGGCCGGAGCCTCCTCTTCTTCCAGCAGCAAGCACACAATCCTCTGGCCAAGAAACCCTCCTGCCCCTGTCACCAGGCAGCTCACCCCAGCCAGGGACATTGCTCTGGGTTCCTCCTCGGTGGTGGATTTGCCGTCTCTTGAGCTCGGTTCTCGTCCTGCCTGAGGGAAGGAACATATGACATCAACCTCTGGAAACACTGCCAATCAAAGGGTGTTACCAGAAGGAGAGACTACTGAAAAACAAACTTTAATCCCTACATAAAAAAATTTTTTAAGCATGCCTTACTTTTGCTAGCTAATCCTATTCAGAGGTAGTCTATGTATTTTTTCCGTGCAAAGAAAACATTCTAACAAATCATTACAAACCACCAATTCAATTAACAAATCTGAAAATGCTCAAAATCGACTTCAATGCCAAACAAACCCCACAAAAGTCTGCCTTGAGTCTCGGTTCCACCTCCCTAGCACTCAGCAGACCGTGGGGGAGATTTGCCTGTATTTATACCCTGCAGGGCACCACCTCAGTCATTCTGCTCCCCTCCCTCTTGAGTGCCTCCTTTGCTGCAAAAGAATGTGATGCTTCCACTCCACTCCCACCAGAGAGGAAGGCTCTGAATACAGTGAGGTCTGAGCCTAGATGTGGTCCTGCATCCCTAAATCCCCAGAGAATAAACCCTCATGTTCATAATTCTCTTCAGCTGCACTTGCTTGTGTAATACAGCGCCAGTATTGTGCCAATATTGAATGTAGGGAGGATTTAAATTAAATGTGAATAGAGGAGAAGCTATTTAAGGTTGTTTGAGGAGTGAATTCTGCTGCTGTATATTTTCTGGATACTGGGCTCCCCCATTACAGTGTGGGTTTGTCACTCTGTCTGTGCAAGATCAGAAACGAACCCTGGGGATTTTGTATTTGTTCAGTACACTACAGGCATTTGAAATGATGAAATTGTTTAATGTACCATCCAAGTTAAATCCAAGATGCAGGAGGGAAAGATTCACCTCTGGAAATGTCTTGTGCAAGAGTAGCTATTTAAAGTAAGGCTGTTTGTGCCTCTGCAGTGATCTGTGTTGTTACTGCTTTGCATCTCCAACACGCAGGGAAAATGCCCAGGTGTTTCTCCTTGGGATTTCACTCCACCTCCAGCAAAACTGTTTTGCAGTGTGAGACCAGGGCAGGGCAATAGCCTGAACCCCCTGATGGCAGCACTGCCCTCCTGGGTCTGTCAGGACATGCTGGCTGCAGCTGTATTTTCTCTCTCTCTCTCTCACACAGGGATAGGCTGCCATCCCTGCTGAAGCAGGATGATAAATAGGGAGCTGCCTTGAGCGACGAGGAAGTTACAAAGAAGCCCAGCAACACAATTAATTAGGCTGAAATCATTGGAGAAGGGATCCTTGTTTTGGGGCATAGCTGGAATGGATCTCTAAAAATGCTTTGTTTCCTTTCATGCTACGCTCCTTTTTTTGTTCTGTCATGGGTTTTGTTCACTCATTAAAGAGAGTTCTGAAGAAAAGCTGTAGAAGCATCCGCACACTGTTACTTTTTTAGAGCAAAACTGGGCTTGCAAGTCTCAGGAGAAAAGCAAAACCACTTCTGTTGGAGGAGAAAGGTTTCTAGCTGACACAGATGACAAAGTTTTGGCAACTGTTCCAGTCCCAGAGTCCTTGAAAATCTGTTACTTACCCCAACAGAGCTTTAAAAAATTTGTTATCAGTGCTTCTCTCCTTGGCTTTTCACATTCAGGACCTTGACATTGTATATTCTTATCAGAAGCTGCTGCAAATTAATTTTGTGCACTTTGCAAGGAAAAATAACTGGCCAAATACTGCTGCTCCAAGTAGCATTCCCTGTAATAGGGCTCCTTTTTTGCTTTCAAAAAGGAAATAAAATGCTTTGAAGAGGCATTACACGACCAAACAACACCACGTAGCCTCTTGGGATACAAAACACTCTTGTGCACCAAGCTTGCCTTTCAGAATGACCAAGCTTAGCAGGGTAGTGCTTGTATGAGAATATGAGTGCTTCATAGGGGACTGCAGGGAGATTTACTGCTGCTGTGCTTTGTCCTCTCAGGTACGACTCAGACAAATGCTTGGCTTAGTTTGAGGGAATTTTATACATCACTGCATAGCAGCCTTCATCTGAACTGCTGTGTGTGAATGTCAGTGGTCAGACAGCAGAGATTTGCTCAACTCCAGCTCAGACCTCCTGGTTCTTCTGCAATCTCATCTAGAGACAACATTTTCACCTCTTGTTTCGTGTTGATATTGCTGTTGGGGCTGCTGAGTGCCATACCAGCTCCTCCTGAGCAGACAGGACTTGCTCTGGTGTTCCCCAAAGGAGAGGGAGGCAGATGCGGGAATGGGCTGCACGCCCCAGAACTGTGCCAGGGAGCAGCAAGGCCACAGTCCAGACCCCCCCACCAGGAACAACTTGATGAAATTCAGAGTTATTGCACACTGAAGGTAGGGGACTTGCAGATAAAAACATAATTGGGCAGCGTTTGAAAAGTTTACCAAGCTGTGTCAAGGCATAGACATTTTTAAACTATGTTGGTGTCTGTAAAATGAAGCCACCACAATCTGATATTTTGCTGTAGAATGGACTGCATTACTAAGAGCATCATTTTAGAAAATCAGAGCTTGTATATTTTGATGAGTGTTGGAGAAATGCTATACGTGGACTAAGTGGATAGCTTAGTATATGTTCATTGCCCCATGTCCCATTCCAGACTGGCCCAGGAACAGCTGCTCCTCTGCTTTGCTGTGACAGATACTTTGGGGCAATGACTGGCAGGTGTCAGAGAATGTATTTTCTTAGCCTTGTCACAAGGGGGAAAATGGATTGGGAGGGAGTGTAGGGGAGATGAGAAGACACAAAGAGAAATAGTGAAGGGAAAATTCCCAGCAGCATTAGGAAAAAACTGTGTCATGGTATTGGAATGAGCATGGAAGTTTTATAGGATAAAAGGTACTTTTACAGAGGGCAATGCTGTTTAATTATTATGGAATGAAGTAAACTGATTTCGCTATCAATCAGGGTATCCAGAAGTAAAAAAGAAAGAACAGATCTATTTGTCCAGAAAGAATTTTAATTCAGGAAAGGGGTTTCTGAAGTCTGGCCTGTTGCCCAGACCTATGAGAACTGAAGCAGGGAAAAGCAAAAGCAGCAAAAGCATACTCATTATTTCACTGGACCTTTTGATTTCAAAATATAGAGTAATTATGACCAAAACACACTCTCTCTCTCTCTCTCTCTCTCTCTCTCTCTTTCTCTCACTCAATTCTATGTTTCTTCTCACATGAAAAACTAATGTGTTTCTCTACCACTGTATGTCTGTAAGCTGGCATGCTGGCAGCTCTGGGAGAGAGGCTGGACTTTGAAATGTAGTTTTACTCAAGGAAAACTTCTGCCCTTCAGTGTAGGAGGCACTGTTCCCTCCTGGAAACATTTCCCTCTCTTCTAGTTATATATTGACAAGAGGGGGAAAATATTTAAATAATTGACTTGTGGACATCTGTCCTGTATTGGACTCTGAATAAACACAACTTCTCATAGTGGAGAAGAGTTGTAAGACACTTTTATCATGGTCTGAAGAAAACCAGCTTAAGAGGCCTCAGTGTTTCTGTGTCTTCAAACCTGACAAAGAAAATCTCTCCTATTTCAGTAATACCAAAATTATTCCAGTAGAACGGAGAAGCTGATTGTAAACATTTCTGACATTATCTCCACGATCAAAAAGGCTTCTTGCAGTAGTCTTTGCCATATTAGACAGCACATGATTTGGGCAATTATCTAGAAACAAACATTTAGTCTCCTTTTCCCTTTAGTTTTAGGAAGAACTCTATTTCCTCAGGTGAAATTGATGAGTGACTCATATATTTAAAGGCTGGAGAAATTTGCATTATATGCCAAAGAAAAATGTTTATGTTTGGATCCATTTTGTAGATAAACTACCCTTGTAGGTAGGCTGATTCTCTGTCCCATCCTCCAGGGATACTGGGAAGCATCAGTGTTTGATTAGTCCTGAAGCTGCATGTTTACAATCTTTGAGGACAGTTTTTTTGTAAGATTTAACCTTGCTTGAAAGTGTATGAGACATCAAGTACGTAAAGCAGAACTGGGTGCAGACAACAGGGTGTAAAACTTTGGTATGCATTGGCTTAGGCCTAACTCAGATCACAGAAAACTTTCAATATCTTGGAAAAACGGGGTTTGTTAAATAGGCTCGTATCCTGATTGAACCCAGTGACCTCTCACTTTAAGTTCACTCACCAAATATCTTTGTTTTTCACTCAAAATGCTTTCTTGCAGGCTTTCACGGAGATACACGTGCTGCCTCTGCAGCTCCAGGTACTTGGTCATGGCAGCACGGTGGCATGGCAGGTACAGATCTCATGTGCAGCTCTTTTTATGATTCTGTGACATCCTCCTACAATTCAGATTAAAGGCAGCCTTGGGAGATCTCTGTGCCAGCCTGTTCTCACAGCAGTGTCAGAGAGGTTGCTTTGGACCTTGCCCAGGCAAGCTCTGAATATCTCTGACAAGGGAGGTTTCACAAACCCCTTTTGCAGTGTCTCACTGCACTCATGGTGGTTTTTCTCCCCACTGATTTCTGCCTGCAATTTTCCTCATTGCAACTAGTGCCCATTGCCTTTCACCCTTTTACTGCACACATCCAAGAATTTGGCCTGGACCTTCTCCAAATGAGTGGTAAAAGGCAGTGATGTGATCCCTCCTCCCCCTGCCTTTAGCCTTCGCAGGACTGAGCACTCCCAGTTGTCTCATTCTCTTCTTGAACATCCTTGAAATCCATCAACGTGTGTGATGTGCTGTAATTCCCAAGTCTTATCTGCTGGGCTGTCAGTCTGCTGACAAGGTTTATTGTTACTGGAACAGAGAGGAAGTCCTCCATGTGAAGGCCTCTGGAAGATCACTGCAGACACTGTTATCTCTGAGAAAAACCAAAGTCTAAACAGAGAGAGCCAACAGGGTTAGCTTCTTCCTTCTGCCCTCTTTGGGCAGATTTAAAGTGGGATTTATGCAAAAGGTCACCTTTTGGTAGCATGACTCCCACTGCATGTGCCAGGGAAATGGGTATCAGGGAATCTGCTGGCTCCAAAGCAGGGGGAGGCAGGGGGCTGCACCGCTGGAAAAATGAGCTGGCTCTTTCCCCACAAGTGGCACTCTGCTCCACCCCTTCCCTGCTTTGCATTTAGAAGCAGTGGGCAAGAACTGCCCCCACTTGCACAGGGCAGCTGGGGTGCCTGGCAGCTGATTCACCTCACTTCTACATCTTTTATAAATACATCCAGGAAAAGCCAAGTCTGTGGAAGATAGCAGCCACAACACTTACAGTCCCAGAGCAGGAGAGGCGTGTGGATTGGGTTGCAGTGAGACTTGGCATGACAAGTGGAAAAAGCAAGGCACAGGGTTTTCCATGTCTGGCTCTCCAGTGTAGAGGAACTTTGGAGGAAGACCCAACATAGGTAATGCTGTGGAACAGCCAGTTTAACGAAAATGCATTTAGACAAGTAACAATTACCCAAACTGTTATGGAATTCATTCAATAAAAGCAGAGAACAGCCTTTGCTAACACAGAGCCTTTCCTCATCTCTTCAGAAGTGTCCAGAAGGCCTTATCAGATACTTATTGCACCTCCTTTTTCATCTTCAGTCTGGCTGGGACCTTAGCTTCAGCTGCCTCTGTTTGGTGGGCATGGCAGGAGACTGATCACAGCCTTGAGAACTGAACCAGGTGCTGGCCAATCTCTGAGACGCTGGCACAGCCTGCAATAAATGAAACACTGGTGAGAGGGAAAGGTCTGTGGGTGAAGCTTGGGAGCCCCCCTGCTCTGAACCCCAGTCTTGTACGATCCAGGCTGAAATAGGTTGGTACTTCAATATCTCCACTCCTCAGCAGCATCATCAGCCTTGAGGTTCAGCACTGGAGTCCCTCAACAAGAAGAGTCAGAAACATGAAAAAAAATTTTTTTGTAAGAAGCTCAGCAGGGTGCAACCTGATCCAGTAAAGTCAGCAGAAAAACACAGAGAAAAGACAGTGGTTGCTGTGCACCAAATGGCCAGAGGTGAAGATTTGCATTGCCATTTAATTTGGACAAATATGGGTGGAATAGGGATGCTGATTGATAGCTGACTGAACATGAGCCAGCTGTGTACCCAGGTGTGGTACAGGCATCCTGGCCTGTGTCAGCAATGGTGTGGGCAGCAGGACCAGGCCAGTGATTGTCCCCTGTGCAGGGCACTGATGAGGCTGCACCTTGAATCCTCTGCTCAGGCGAGGTTTAAATTGGATATTAGGAAGAAGTTCTTCACAGAAATTGTTATCGAGCACTGGAATAGGCTGCCAAGGAAGTGGTTGAGTCACCAGCTCCGAATGTGTTTAAAAGACACGTAGATATGGCATTAAGGGACATGGTTTCATGGTGGAATTGGCTGTGTTGGGTCAGCAGTTGGACTTGATGATCTAAAAATGTTTTTTCCAACCTAAAAGATTGTATCATTCAATGAATTTCACAGCCTCAGCAAAAGGATCCCAACCTTGCTGAATCCTGTGCCCTTTTACATGAACTGTAAAAGTCTGCTGGGGAAAAAACCCAGGAATCTTTACTAGTTGAAAAAGTAACCCATAAAACCACACTATGGCCAGAGGGATTTCAGCTTCAGTCTCCCAGTCAGTGTTGCTATCCACTTGAGTTCTACATGTCATAATATATAGAATATCCTGCTCTGGAAGGAACCCATAAGGATCATCCTGTCCAACTCCTGGCCCTGCAAAGGACACCCCAAGGATAACACCATGTGCCTGAGAGCACTGTCCAAATGCTTCTGGAACTCTGTCAGGCTTGGTGCTTTGACCACTGCCCTGGGGAGCCTGTTCCAGTGCCGAAACCCTCTTGTCCAAGAGTAAAACTGGAGCTTGCACTGGGCTCTGCAAATTTGCTGTTTGATGAGAGGCTCAAACAGGGCAGCTACAGCTGGGAGCAGGAGTGAGAAAAACAGAGTGAGAGTAAAGGGAGGAGACACAAAAGCTTTTAAAATATGTGTAATCACCTCCAGACCATATTCTCTAACACACAGAAAGAAAAATTCTGCATCCATTTTTAATGAGCTCTTCACACAGAAAAAAGATCAGTTGCATTTCACCTTGATAAACACTAAATACTGAAAAACTGCTGCTGTCATTCCCAGGAGAACAGAAATTCCAAGTTTTGCTCGGCTGTACTTCGGAGTTTTGCATCTGTTTACTTGGGTCACAAAGCTGCTCTAACCTACTCCCTCCATGCAAACTTCATTGCTGTGACACCTGGAATGCCAAGTGGTTTCAGAGGAAGCAGAGAATCTCAAGTACAGCAGCTAGAATCATCACAGCTCCTGTGGATTCCCTTTTTGTCACCTATCCATCACACTCCTGATTTTACAGGGCTTGCATGCAGAAACATCTGTAACACCCATCACAAACAAAATGCTTACCAGCTAAGGCCATAGACAAGCGAAACTCATCCTGAAGGATTCTCAAGACATCCTGAAGCCCTTCTTCACCCTGCACCAACAGAGAAAGCAGTCAGGGTAAAAGGAGCCCTGGCACAGAGCAGTGCTGCAGGATGCCTGCACCCTGAGAGCTGGGATAGTCCCTTAAATCCGTGCCAATTCCAGTCTCTCATGCAGATGAATGATTAAAATGATGTGATGGATGTGCTCAGTTCATCACAGATTAATTTAGATGCTTTTCCTTTTGGGATACATCTGAACAGGGAAAGAAAACAAAGCTGTTTTTCACTTCTGACATTTTGTAGCTGGTTCTTTTTTTTAGCTTTCAGTTTTCCCCCACTAATGGGCTTGCTATTTAAAATGTCAAGCCTTACAATGCTGACAGGTTTTAACAAAGTAATGAGTTTTATATATGTTACCACTCCAGAAACTGTAGTTCAATCAATTAGCAGACTGAATCTTTAAAAATAATACACTATGTGTTTTCCTTTGTGTAAGTGACACCAAGAAGCTCAAAAGCCAAAAAAATGCATAGAAGATTTTGATCTTCCTATGAAATACTGGGGATTAATTTTTTTTCTCTTGAATTTTCTTTTTATGTCTTGCAATAATGAATGCTTTGGGTGCAGTCAATGTTGGCACTTGCTTATGCCCTTCCTCTGTTGTGTGCTTTGGTAATGCCACTGAGATACATCTTTAGGAATTCTCTATGGAATACAACATCAAAGCACAATTGAACCCCCCAAAATCTCATCTCCTTTCTGTTGCCATTGTGGAGAAAGTGCAGGCAACTCACAGGAACACCTTTTTCATCTTAGGCCCTTTGTTGATATTTACTGGCCAAAAAAACAGTACTGCCAACACTTACAGGTTTTTTCAGGAGATTCAGGTGACTTCTTGATCAAAGCCTTGCTACTGGAATCCACAGCAATCACACCACTGGACAAGAGTGCCATTTAAGAGAAAGGAAATGTGTCTAGACCACACAAAAAAAGTATCTTTTCTTCTAGAGAAAAGTTTTGGAAGACTCCATCCAGAGTGTAAAAAGCAAAAAATTAACAAAAACCCCCATCTAGTATAATAATACTATTTGAATTTTAATTATATTAAGTTTACCTCCTGCATCAGACTGCATGACTCTGGACCATAGAAATATGCCTGGAGTTGAGAAGCAGCAAAGCTGGAACTGAAATAGCAGTGGAAACCCAGGCGACAGTGGAAAACTGTGGATACAGTTTTCCAGGATACAGTTTTGCTCAGCCTGGTCCAAAATGTTTCAGCCATCCATGGGATGGAGCTCTATATGTATTTCTGAAGAATTCATAGCACTGCTGTGAAACTGTTCTACTAAAACCATGTATTGTTCCCAACTATTTGCTGAAAGCAAATAAAATTGTCAGACTAATCTTTCTGGCAAATAAGCCAGCTCCAGTTTTCAAAAGCACTGAGTCCTAAAGTATTTTAGGACCAAACTGCAACTTCAAGAAATCAGGTCCCACAAAACAATGCTATCACCTTCAAAATCCCATTGTTCAAAATCCCAGGAAATTGTCAAATTCAGTGGTATTTTTAAATCAGAGGAAATGTCAGGGTTTCATTCAATTTGGGGTGATTCCACTTCAAATTCAGCAAAATAAAATTAAAAAATATATTCTCCACCAGTGACAACTGTGTGACTTCAGTTGCAGGACTGCTGGAGAGTGTGAGAAGCAGGCATATGGACCCAGAGCTCCTTACTCACCTTGTAAGCCAGGCCCCACAAAGCTGGTCTTCCAATAAAGACACATTTTGCCCCCAGTGCCAGAGCTTTTAGCACGTCGCTGCCTTTTCGTATCCCTCCATCGACATAAACTTCCACTCTGCCCTGAACTGCCTCCACAACCTCAACCAGGGCATCAATCTGCAAGAAGAAGCCAGTCTTACCTTGAGGGCAGCTTTTGATTCCCAGAGAAGGAGGACATATTCCAAAGAGACAGGCAGGGAGGCAGTGCTTTAGTGGGATACCTTCTCGAAATGAAATGTGACAATGCATCACAAATAGCACAGCACCAGGAGCTGCAGAATAACAAACATGCAGCTCCCTGCTCTGCTTTCCAGACACTTAATGCCATTTTTCAGTGCTTTGCTTATACTAATATTCTTTGCTATCACTTTTGATTAGTGAAAAAGTAACATTTTCAGTAGATTTAGGAAAGATTTTAAATATAAATTTCAATGGAAAAACTGTCATCAACATTTTACTTTTATTTGAGACAATGATGAATAATACAGCTGTTTGCAAGAAAGGCTGATGCCAGACTTCTACTGCTCAAACTACCTAAGCTTACATTTCAGCTTAATCCTGGTGACCACTTGTTGAGTGCCTCCCTCTAAAGCATCTGTGAAGGGCTTAATTTGCTATGTAGTACAGTCAACAATTTCCTCCAGGTTAGGTCTCCATGTTCCCTAAGGTCTTTTCTGAAGAGTTTAGCATGGTGTAAGCCTCAGATGTTATTGCAGGGCAGCACCACGCAGAGATGCTGGCTCTGCCCCCAAAGGCAGTATAGCCAGGGGCAGCAAAAGGCACTGGACATAATTAACTCTCCTTCAGAGCAAACCCAAAAGGCTCTTTTCTGCAGTGTCTTATACCTTTTTGCCTTCCTTTAGTTTTTTTTTTCTGAATTTCAAACTGAGAACCTTCAGGCTGAAATTTTCTAGGACTAACTCAGCAAGAGTCAAGCTTGGCACTAGAAAAATAGCAGAGCCCAACTAGGTATCTACTGCCTTGTCTGTGTATGTAAAACAACTTTTAAGGTAGAAGAACAGTTTAATGTGGATGCCACTTCTGTTATTATGCCTTTAGCATTGAGCTTATTAAATTTTTTTTTATTCATTATTGTCATCCTTGACGCAGAATAGAAGAGAATTCCCTGGTACCTATTTTTATTTAACAAAAGAAAGCCGAGAAAAGAAAGTTCGTAAGATACTGTGCAATGCAGAACTGTAAAATAAGAGCAATTGGAAAAACTGACAGAAGCCAAATTAATCCAGTGAAATACACACATGTCTAAACAATGCATGGTTTCTTTGTACAAATTTAAAAGCAGGAGAATTTTTCTCCAGATAAGTTGTCCTTTTTCTGGCTTGTGTAAGTCAATAAATTCCTGTTTAGACTTGAGCCTGTAAATACGCAGGCAGACCTCTCACTAAATCTAGCTGCATTGTTTTGCATGTTTTGACAGATGTGAACAATGAGAATACATTATGCTCTCATTTGTACAATTTTGGTTCCAGAGCTTTGTTTTCTTTTTGCTGCAGTGCGCAAAGAGTTTGAGTGTGCTGCACCAGCTCATGGAGGCACAGGCAGGAACTCTCCCTGGCTTAGGCCAGGAGTTTACCTGCACTTAAGTGGGTTCTGTGGTACATACAGAACCCTCCCAAGAAGCTGAGGAATTACTTCAGTGGATAGCCCCCATACCAAGGCATGGATCTCACCAGTTTAAAGGTAAAGTATATCTGTACACATCCATGGCCACTGGATAAACTCAAGCCCACCAGAAGGGTACACACAAACCTGGGCATAGAGACACCCAGGTTAATGCAAACGTGCAGACCTTAAATGGGGAAAATGTGGGAGATCCATTTTTATCCCTTCTCACTTACAGTGGCAGGTCCTTCATCCAGTTGCCTTCCACCATGGTTGGACACAATAATTCCCTGAACTCCATGTTTCACTGCCAGCTCTGCATCTTCTCTTGTTAAGATGCCTTTGATGATGATGGGCAGGCGTGTCAGGCTCCGCAGCCAGTAGATGTCATTCCAGGTGACTGAAGGATCCAAGCTGTTGGGTGGCAGTCCATACTCAGAGCAGTCATCTCCCTACAGCCACAGTGAAACAGCAAAAGGAAAACTCATCCAGGCTGCAACAATACACAGGTCCCTTGGTGTCTCCCCTTGCCCTAGAACAGATTAATCAAACTTGCCAACAGACATGTTCATCAGCTCCAGAAATGTCACATGTCTCTGGAGGAGAATAATTACAATGGGGGTGGAGATCAGTGTCTCTGAGGCAGCTGGGTGGGGATTTTGAAGACAGAACCCAGTCCGGCAGGAGGTCAAGCCAGGATGCTGCAGAAGCAGCAGGGGAGGAGATACACCCCAGTACAGCAAATGCCAGGGCAGCAGTTACCCAGTGGTTTTTCTCTCATGTGGTACATGCCAGTGCAGTGAATGAAAGGACGGGCTCATTTTACAAACCTCAAAGGCTCCTTCCAAGTTCTTCACTTTCATGTGGGGAGGAAGGCGGAAGCCATTGCGGACATCGTCGCGTCTCTTGCCCGTGTAGGGCAGGTCGGCGGTGAGGACGAGGGCCTGGAAGCCCAAGGCCTCTGCCCGCCGGACCAGCTGCTGGGAAGCTGCCCTGTTGCGGTGGATGTAGAGCTGGAACCAGCGGAGGCCGCCGGGCGCAGCCGCGGAGATCTCCTCCAGCGAGCAGGTGGAGTAGGTGCTGGCGATGTAGCAGGTGTCCATTGCTCTGGCCGCTGGGGGGGCATTGGGAAGGAGTCAGAAACAAAGGCATCTGAAGGGCCTTGCCAGGCATCAGACACAAAACCATGCACTGTTTGCAGAGACCACCCCAACTCCTGATTTCATGTGCATCCTACAAAGCACAGGGCAGCTATGCCCCAGGATTAACAATGACTGTATTTACCCTGCACTCTTGTTAGTCCATGGTTAAGAAAGCAGAAAAGGGAGAGCTAATTAACCAAGCTGTGCTTTCATTTTGCATCTGCATTTTTAAAAAAGCATGAATTTTATCTTTATTACTGAGTCCTCTCAGGGATGTACTGTTAGATCTACTCAGTGTACACAGAAGAAAAAACATTTCTAAGGGTCAGGTCTCCAAACTCTCCACGGGATTTGTGGGATATCTTTTTGTCCAAGGGAGATATTTCTTAACCAGTAACAAGGAATTCACAGTCTGAGTCCCATCCACCTCTTCTACAACCCATCTAGAGCCCCTTTGACTGAAAACCTTATGTGGTTTTTGGTATGAGTCAGAAATGTGTTCACTGCCCTCTTCTTCGGTTTGCAGCAGACTCCATGGGGCTGATTTTTAATGTTGGTAGCTGGAGAAGAAGGGCACCATCTATACAGCTTCCTATGCAGGCTGTCAGAAAGTGGGAATGGAGTTTGCCCCCTCAAGACTGAAAATTTTTCTCAGTCACACTTCGAGTCCTCCTAACAGCTTCTTGAGGCTTTTCTACAACCCCCTTTTGGTGCTACACAGCACCAGAGCAGAAGAGTACCTCTGGCTGTGCTTTTCTCTCCATCAGGCCATGCTAGCTGGTGGAAGCCTGTAGGGGCAATTCCTACAGGAAAGCTGATTTCAGAACCCAGGATTTTAGTCCTGATGTCCATCACGGATACATCCCGCAGCATACGTGGCCGGAAATGAATTCTGTAAGGCAAAAAATGTATTCTCCACATCTGCTTTCAGGATAGCAGATGTTCAGTGAGTTTTCTGAAATTTCATGGAAACCAGGTCTTCGTTTACCACATAATTTCTGCATCTCCTGCCTCAGGTCACTGTGTCTTGTTCTCCCACTGTCCTCCCCCAGATTCCTTTTACTTGCAGGCAGGCTGGGTCCTTCCACCTCACCATCCATGTGTCTGTCCTCTCTGTTCAGTGTGCCTGCCCTCTGGTTCTGCAGCATGTTCCCCAAATCCCACCCTGCTTGCACATAGGCTTCCTGCTGTTCACCAAGAGCTCCCTGTTGCAACTCATTCTATTAGAGCTGCTCATCCCCTTTCCTGTAATGCCACACACTCCATAGCACACTGTACTCTACCCTACCCTACCCTACCCTAGCACCTGCCTATAACCTCAGCATCCCTAAAGCCTCATACAACCCGTGTCATACTCAGTCTGGCATCAGAGCACACAGTGCACATCACTCAGGTTTTGCATTTAGCTTGGAGACCCCCTGGAAAGGACAAGGTTTTAGGTTCCTTTGCTTGTCAAGTCCAAATACTTGCTCAAAACCAGTTTAAAAGGTCCCAGTACGACTCCCTTCATTCCCTTCTCACATTACCTTTTATATGCCAGGATATTTTCATCTCGTGTGGTACAGTCGTCTGCTCCAGCTGCAAAATAATCCCAAGCAATCTTGGGCAAATACTTCTTAGCATAAGCTTCGAAGTCAGAAAGACACACCATCGACATTGCTGAGAGAGGTGTAGGGAACCTTGAAGAAAAGAATGACATGGAGCAGAAATTAGATCCCTGAACTGTCATTCACTCTTCCAGGGGTTCTAATGTCACTGAAGGCAAAACTTGGAGCCACCTGTTTTATAGAAGAGCTGCTGAGTTTTCAGTCTGTCTTGCACATTGGTCTATGAATCCTCTACCCTAGTACGAGGAAAACTTGCAGATGCAGCCATGAGAGCAGGAGGAAGCTTGCATCTCTGTGCCTCTCTTCATTCTGTTTTAAACAGCAGCCTGAAGAGGACATTTTAGGTCCTCTGCTATTTCAATTGTGTAATTCTGTCATAAGTTCCATCTTAAAACAAGCTGCATTATTTGTTCCACTAATTCTGCTCAAAGGTTGTCCCAGAACATAATTTGTCAGATTACCCCTAAGGACGGCACTGTGACTGAACAATTAGTTATGGAGCACAGGGATGGAATTCAAGATCATGAAATCTGGAAACAAGTAAATACAGAGTCTACATGTAACCTGCTCCAGAATGAACACACTGTAAAACTATGTCCAGACCCTGAGAGTAAATCACTGTAGAGGCCAGTGCTGTGGAAAAAACAAACAATTTTCTACAGATCTTCCTTTCTCTTCTGGAACAAATACTTTCTGGGTGTTTGCATTACATGCTGGAGCACTGATACATACTATAAAAGGAATATACAGAATTTGGACAAACCATAAGAAAACACTAGCAAAAAACAAATTCCACAATATGAAACATATTTCTGAGAACTAACCTCAGCCTTTCAGGGAATGGAAGTGAAGTTGTGTGACCCAGATGTCTAATCAAACCAACATAAATGCTGCCCAGAAAATGCCTGCACTTACATACTTTTGAAGAAGCAAGAACTGAAAGCTGTGCAAATGAATGTTTTAGCAAACCATGCCCGTGTGTGCAGAAACATGTACAAAACACAGACAAAGTCAATTTTCTAAATTGTTTGTTGCAATTACTTCTGCAGTCCTGTATTTAGCAAGATATGTGGAAACATGAAATTTTAAAACAGCTGTGGCTCGGTCTAACTTCTCTAAAAAACATACAGGAAGAAGTAAGTATCCTAATTTTCAGGATTAACCTCCCACCCCAGATTAGCAAGGGTTGCAATCTTCACCCAAATCAGCCCCACATGTCCTGTGTTGGTCACTTTTGGCACAGATAAAGACACAGGTTCTGTACACAGACACAACCTGTCAAACTGCAGGCACCCTGCTTCTCACTGACTGAAGTACCCGTGTTTGCATTTGAGAATTAGCACTCACAATTCTCTGCTAGTAAAGAGCCCAGGATGAGGAACTCATTGGAAGAAGAAGAAGAAATGCAACTGATTTCTTTAGTATTGTTCTGTCTGCTCTGACAGGCATCAGGTAGGAGGGGGTGCAAGTATCCCAAGCCTGCTTTCTCTGACTTTGAGAATCATGCTGATAGCGCAAGTCTTCATAAATGTACTGTGACATTCTTTAAACCATCTATCACAACTTCTGCTTTTCTAACTTTTCGAAAGGTCAACATCATCAAGAAAGATAAGATAAACCAAGTCCTCTCATGGCAGAATAAACAGGAATTTTAAACAACCCCAGTTCAGACTTACTTTGGATTTCAGGGAAAGCTGCAGGGGGTGAGAGCCTCTCCTTCAAGTTTGCCTGCAAACAGGATTTTGAGGTCTTTTCACTGAGTGGCTTCTGCAGTCAATAAGCAACCACCAGAGATTAAAGCTCAATCCTGTGGTAAACTTTGTACTGTTTGTATAACACTAACTTTGTTTTGCCATCAGGAGATTAAAAATCCCTCCTAAAAAATGCATCACCTTGTCAGCATTGTGATTGCTTCAGCTCAGAGCCCTGTAGCTGAACTCTTGGGCAGTGGCTGATGGCTCTGCACTCACTTAATCAAGCAACAGTATTTCAGGGGGTTTAATGAATCTCTAAACTGTTGGTAACTCGTTGGTTCATCCTCCCAAAATGATGCTTCACAGACAGTGTGAGTAGTTACAACTCCCAGCTACAAAACCTGGATAATTTACTAGCATGCGGGAGATGTTTTTTGCTCCCTGCAGTGTATAAACAACTAAAATACCCTTTCTCTTCCGCCAATTTTAAGGGCCTGTAAGTGGTCTCATCAGGACAGAGGTAACAAAATGATATTGATTTAAATTTCTATTAATTTATTAAATTTCTAACAATTTATTATATTGATTTAAATTTCTAAGATGTGAAAAATAAACACTGGACAGTTTTATTTGGCTTTTAGATTCTTTTAGCCTTTAGGGTTCATGCTTTCAATATTTCTGTGCAAGTATGAGAGCCTGAAGTTTTGATTTTTTGCTAACTGAGAAATGAGATATTACAGTGGCAGGTGCAGAGGACAAGTCAGAAACTTGTTAAAACTTTCCCAAAGTATTGTTGGCCTCCCAGCTCAAGCAACCCAGATGGGAGAGTGAATGAACTACTGTGGTGGGAAAAGCTGGAAGCTAAACAGAGCTGCAGCCTCACGGGCTAGCATTGAACTGTCTGGTCTGGTCCAGGAGAGCAGACCTGACATTTGTGACAGCAGAAATTGAAGGTCACTGACACCATCTGTGCAGCTGTAGTGAACACCTCTTCTTCCTGTTAGATGCATTCACAAGATCCTGCCTAAATTCAACCAGTCATGGTTGGCTCTACTACTATCTTTTGAAACTTTAAATTCAGCCTTCAGAGCTCGTTATCTGCTGACAGCACTGTGGAACTGGCTTCTGGCATGGATAGCTGTGGGTAAAGGTGTCATAAGCTAGACAAGGTGTGCACAATTAGCTGAAATGCCCACAAGCTCCTTGGTTTGCTTCCCTGCCCAGCACAAGCCATAGGGCAGACGGCCTTCAGGTCTCTTCTGAAAAGAGCAAAGTGTGTGCTCACAGCCCAGGGCATGCCTGGGAAGGCAAAGAAAATCTTGCCCTCGTTCTTCCTCCACTAGATGTCAGGTTTGGGTCATATATTTCAATATCTAGGTTGGTAAAAGCAGTAACAAGAGTGCAGTACTTGCTGGCCTGCACTGCAAGGCACTATGGCCTTAAAACTGCTACAATCACATCACCAGAGCACTGCTAATGTGTTTGGAAATCTTCACTCCCTGTGCCTTATTTTTAACATTTTCTGGTGCACAGCACAGCAATAAATGTAGCTACATCTGGTCTGGCATGATCTTTGGTTCAGCCTACGAGTCATCTGCAGGGTCCTCTGTCATATTTCTCATTATGCTGATCTCAGTACTTCCCTACTTTAGGGAAGCACATTGCAGCCAATTCAGCAAACCATAGAGTTTATGCTTTCATGATTATCATAATTTTACATGAATTAAAAATAGTCTGTGACTACTGTATTTTGGATCAGAAAAGGGGGAAAATCTCTGTGTTTATGCTGTGGCTTTTAAGAGGCTGTACTTTGCATCTAGATATATTTGCTTCTTTCAGCAATGGACTCAATTCAAAGTAGCGGTGATTTGTTGTTCCAAAAGTGGTAGTTTCTCTGATAGCAGTAATACTCCTGATTTAGCTGTGAAGCTGTATTCTGAGGAAATCAGAATTTGCCACAGAGATAATACCTTTTATTATAACCCCTGTATATACTTGAAAAAAAGTGGAAAATTTTAAAATCCCAGAGCCTTTTCATTGGAGCATAGCAAAAACCTTACAAAGACTCTCTGAAAACTTTGCTGGAAACCTAGCTGTCTTCTTTTAAAAACTAAAGAAAATAGTATAGAAATAATTACACACATCTGGTCCATCCTTGCAGGTAGAATTTTGTCAAGCAGTCAACAGGCAAAGCTTGATTTTTGCACAGATCTGTGTAGCTGGGCTTTTGCAGCTGCTTACTTTTCAGTGCTAACACAGTCAAAGGTTCATGAGTCCAACACAAAGATCCTCTGTAAATCAGTGCTCCAGTTCCTATTGCAGTCACAATGCTCCTTCCTCCAGCTGGTTGCATTTGTTTGCTTTTCACAGATGGCAAATCACGGTGGGTCAAGCTGACATCTCTCTCCCTGATGCATCCACTAGTGCTCCACTAGTGCTCAGTGACTTTAAAACACTTAGGTGAAGAATCTGGTGAACTCCAAGCAATGTAAATAATTCAGATCGCATAACAGTTTGCATACAGTCACCACTGTTTCTCCTTATCAGATGTCTTTCTTGGGCATATGCCTCAAGTGCAGAAGGTCAGTTATGCAAGAAAGCTTTTCCCAAATTGAATGCTTAAATAGCCATCCCTCTGTTACAGGTGGAGAGGGCAACAAATCTTATATTTAATGTTGCCTAGCAGTTTTGATTATAAGATCTGTTTTTTCAGTTGCTTTTAATTTTTTCATATTTTAATCATTCTAGGCTGAAATTTTCCACCCTTGTTCTGTGTTGGGCTGAATTTTTATTTTGAGAACATTTCACTGAAAGTTGGTCAGCAACTTCCAAGAATGAGGTTAGTGAAAAATATGGTTGGCCCGTGCTGAAAATATCTTGCAGTGGTTTCACTGCAGTTCAGTGCTTCATGCAGGGGCTTGAAATTAGCGGGGGTTGATCCCTGGAGACATCAGCCTGTACTTGGTGGCCATATGAAAATCCTGTCAGATCTGACCTAGCTGTAAATCACTGCTTTCCACTTGCACATGGCCTGCAGAGCTTGTCTGAAATCCAGATGTTGTCTTTGCTGAAGACTTGCCTGGTGCAGAGCGTGCTGGTGCCGCAGGAGCTCAGCCCCAAGTACGAGCAGAGGGCAGAGAATTGGCTGTGCCCTGCTCTCCCTCACCCTGTGCCACCCAGAGCTGGATGCAGCCTTAAACAGCACTGAAGGGAAGGAGGAGGAGGAGGAGAAAAATAATGGCTCAAAACAGGACCTACAGGACAGCATCCAGGGACAGGCAGGGAGGGATATGCAGAGGCAGCAAGGCCAGAGACAGAGCAGGTGGGAACAAAACAGACAGGGATGTCCTGGGATG